GCTTTAAAGACATCATATCCTAGCATCAGCCTTTTTGATGCAAGGGACCTGACATTGTAGAGGAGTAAAGATTGAAGATATTAAATATATTAGTTATAAATTATGTATATTTCATTTTATCTATGACATTAAATCGGTATACATCTAGCTTTGTTGGAAATGATCCTGCGGACCAGAAGCCATACAGAGAAAAGAGGTTAAAAATATATAATAACATAATACAGGTAAGTTCAAAATTTCATTGGAACTGATACCTCAGTTTTCAGGAAATGGTATTACAGTATGTCACCATGGGACTCCCAAGGTGAAATTCCTGTACTTGATCCATCCACCTGCTACAGCTGTTATAAGATTTCTTGTATCGTATAGTACAGAGAATGCAGCAGGAGGAAAAGAACACCGTTTTGGCCGGTGCAGAGCCCAGTTCTCTCATACATTTAAGGATTTAATTACCATAGTCACTGAGATTTGTCAAATGCCAATAATATTCAAGAAAGGTTTGATTGAACAATTATTCTTTTCAGTGAAGAACCGTTCTAATTGACCTACATCCATAAAGAAATAGTAAATGTGTATATGCTCTTCTCTTAAAATGATTTACCTGCACAATAGAAGAAAGCACTTTATTGAGGATCTGTCTGAAATAGCAAAACACAAAGGGTCTGATTCCTTAAAACCGAAGAAAGAAAACGGAGAAAAAAAAAAGGGTTCTTGCCAACAAGAACAATTAAAAATACTTGTTCTATGTTTCAATGAAATGAATGATGAAACCTAACAACAACCTGCAAGATTTGTGCTCATTTTCTTTTCTCCAATTTTAAGGCATCAGCTCTAGAGAAAGAAACAGATGAATGGATAGATACATGGGTAGGTGGATGGATGGAAAGAGGATAGATAGATAGATAGATAGATAGATAGATAGATAGATAGATAGATAGATAGATAGATAGATAGGCAGCCCTATGAATGGACAGATAGAAAGCTAGATAGATAGGTGACTATATGAAAGGAAGGAAAATGGACAGATAGATAGGTAGGTGGATGGATGGAAAGAGGATAGATAGATAGATAGATAGATAGATAGATAGATAAATAGGCAACTTTATGAATGGAAAGAAAATGAACAGGTGGATAAATGGAAAGGGAATAGATAGATCTGGATGGATAGACAGATGGATGGATGAATAGATGAGATGGATGGATGGATAGACGAACAGAGGGAAGAAAGAAACAATGGATTTTTGGGTGGAAGGAAATCTGTGGTTACATTGAGTTGTCAAGCACCAGCTTGTGGTAGGCGTCTAAAGTGCAAACAAAAGATGAAGTAGTGTAAAACTGCAGATTGCACTATAGCATGTCATGGGTAGGTGGCCATTGGACACTAGTCATTGGTGGGCATTGCTTTTCCAATATTTTTTCAGGTAAAAGAATGACTAATTACCATCCACTTACTGTAACTGTCTAGCTGGAAATGTCCTGTTATACCTGGAGATACAATGAGGCACAGTAGTGTAGAGGAGCTACACCCATGGGAGGGTCCTTCCACTGCAGGAGAATGACTTTCTGTTGGGCTACAAGGTCACAACACATTAGTAAAAAATAAAACTCATGTAAGCTGGTATTTCCTGATATATTATGTTCAGGACATTTGTGGAATTCTGAACATTTTACAATCTATATACACAATCTAAAACCTTTTATAACAGAATGGTATCCTAAGACGTGTACTCCTAATACCTATATCTACAGAGCCAGTGGACATCTACCTAGTCCTTCCACAAAGCTGATTCCACCAATGGGTTAAAGTGTCTCTATAATTTGTTGGTGCTCTACATAGTTTACCGAAAATTGGAAGTTGTGGTAACTCCCACATGTGATGCTAAGCCTCCATGATTAAAAAGCTGAATTTCAATGAAAGGGTCGGGTCAGTGACAGTCACGCTGGAGAGAAAAGCGCTAGATGATGCTGGACTTTGCCAGGAAATGACTCTATCTGACTTGCTGCAGCTTCCAATGGACATTGTGGGAAGCACACAGTGTGCAGTGAAATCAGAGTAAGCTATTTCAGTACAGGGTAGGAGCCTGAAGGGAAGGCTGGAGAACCGCTTTAATGGAGTGTGGAGTGCTCAACGCTACTCTTTGCCTAGACACTGAAGGTGATCACTCAATGTGATAGTCTACAGCCATTGAGAAATTAGAATGACGTAATAAAATGAACATGGACTGCACAGCCACATATTTTATCTAATTAGTGGACTGCTACTTGTCAAAGTGTTCCTTTATAAAAACAGATCCCTTTTAGCAGAGAAGAGAATGACATAGATGAACTAACCGCAGGGTGGTAAGTAGAATACAACACAGGAAACCAATTTTAAATAGAGACTGGGAGATATATTTTGCATATTTTTAATGAATTCAGCCAGAGCCATAGCTTGCTCTTTTTGTGCCCGAGGCAAGAACAGAAAATTGTGCCCCCCAACAGACGTGTTTTGTTTTTTTAATTTATTTTTTATTATTATTATTTACATTTTTTTACTGTTGGGGGGGCTTTGGGGAAATGTCAGGGGTCTAAACAGACCCCTGACATTTACCTTTTGAAATAGAAAAAGGGATTGAGGACACAGAGTTCTCTGCCCATATAGGTGGGAGAGAGCTGCGGGATCCGAGGAGAAACTGGAGCCTGTGTCGCTCCTTCTCTCCCTGTCGAGCCGCAGCTGTGTTGGCCTCCCTGGCGCCCCTGTTGCCATTGGTGCCCTGTGCTCACCATGGCAAAAGGGGCAAGGGGGCACAGCCAGGCCGGCCCTGGCTACGCCCCCTCTCAGCTGCGCCTGTGGCAGGTGCCTCACTCGCCCCATGGAGGCTACAGCCCTGAATTCAGCACCCTGAGGCCTATTTATTAGGGCAGTTTTCATCAGAATTCATGCACAGTTGGCCACATCAGCCAATCAGATGACAACTTTTGCTTATGTAGAGCAGACAGAGCAATGTCAATTGATTTCTGATTGGTTGTTTATGGATGGCTAAGACCTCATCTACTGCTATAGTGCAGGGATTAGGTGTAGATAACATAATAAGTGACATGTATATCCTATTAGAGGTGACCTCTACTGTATAAAAGAGGCTCATGTGTCATTAGTAGAAGACACAGGTTTTCACTTTGTGCCTCTTAGGTATGTTGTAGACGGGTGTTTTTGTCAAATGCTGCCTTTTGTATTTGAACACACCACTGCTTTTATCCATGCAAAAGGCTGAGCTTGCTTTGCATCTCTGTAGAACCTGCTGCATCCAAAGAAAGGCAAAGCGGGTCAAATACAGTCTCAGGACAATCCTAGGCACTACGCCAGGGGTAGGCAACCTTGACACTTCAGCTGTGGTGAAACTTTAATTCCCATCATGCTTCTGGGAGTCATGCCTGTGGCTTTCAGTCTTTCAATGCCTCATGGGACATGCAGTTCCTTAACAGCTGGAGTGCCAAGGTTTGCCTATCCCTGCACTACACCATTTAAGTAAATGCAACTCACTGACCTGCTTAATTAAAGGGCAATTTGACTGATGCTGTCTATATTGTCTCTACCGATAGCAAAGTGAAGTCATGCTTCCACCCCATGGATGAGGATACCTATTGGGGGTAATTTATCAAAACCGGAGCAGGCAAAATCTGGAACAGCTGTACATGGCAACCAATCAGCTCCTCTCTCTCATTATCAAATCTTAACTGAACGGACTGAAGAGAGAAGCTGATTGGTTACTATGGGCAACTGCTCCAGATTCTATCTGCCCCAGTTTTGATAAATTGCTCTCATTGTCTTTTAGACATACCCTATAATGAGGCAGCCTAAGGCAATTGCCCCAGGCAGCATCCCTTTGGGGGGCGCTGTCCCAAGTTCCTAAGAGCTCTTAGCAACCTTTGGTGCTTGGTCTGGCGTCCTGCCTAGCTCACTGACTTCACCAGTTGACAAGAGCTGAGTAGGATGCTCTGGCTAGCTTCCTGGCGAGCTCCTGGCAACCAGTGTTGTAAGTGCCAGACAAAGCCACTGACAGCGCTGTCAGCAACTGACCTACAATTTTTAGCTCTGTTCCTGTTCATTTGTGAGTTTTGGATGTTCACCCCCAATTTTGTGTGCCCGTGTTAAATTCTCCATGATATAAAATAAAAATCCAACAGGAAGAGTTGGAGTCTCACATAATGGTCACAGCAGCCGTGGAGACCCAGGAACCTAGAAAGAATCAATGAGACATACAAGAGCCTGTCTGAAGGTTTAACTCTCAACCATCCACCAAACACTGAAATATTCATTTGTATGGACCCACCTTTCAAAGGATCGATACACCCCCAAATCTTCATTCCAGTTTTGGGTAGATACTAGTATTTTGATTATATCTTTCTCAAAGAATTCAGCAGCTAGTTGACTCCTCGTGTATTCATAATTCTACCAATTTGTTGCATCCATTACATGGGAATATCACTCTTCCTGTTGGATTTGTTCAGGTCACTTTATGTTATGGAGAATGCAACTGGAAGAGTGTGACTCCCTTACTGGGATTGTGGGGGAACCAGGGCTGAGAACTCTACTGTGTAGATCTCACTGCTGTTGTCCTTAATAATAGCCAAGGCAATTTTCAGGCCATTGCAACCACTTTTTCAACCAGGTTTTGACTGAAAGGACCTCCGGGATCACCTACCACCAACAGTTTTGATTGTTTTGATAAAAGCTGTTGGTGGCAGGCTACCTTAACCTTGTAAAGCTGACCTGAAAATTGCCATATGCATAACCAACATTATGAAGGCAATGGGTCATTCAGCTCTATGGGGTCAACCCACAATTGGAATATCCATTCTGACCCTTCAGTAATTTCTTGTTCAATATAATAATGCGCGGGGAAACTAAAATGTAGCATTTCTATTTGTTTAGAACCTGAGATCTGTACATTCAAATACTGTAGTATTTTATTGTCTTTTGTTATGCAGTATGGGCTTATTCTGGTCTCTCTATGTTGTAGATCCCTTCCAGGAGACCCCTGCCCCTTCATTTCCTGCTGAAACTCCATCCTTCATCCCACCCAAACGTGGAGTGGAAGAGGTAAGTTCCTATATTATCATTATTGGACGCTATATACAAAGACTAGTTGGATGAATAAACATACTGGATTTGTTCATTTTCCACCAACACATTTTATGGGCACTATACCCAGTACATAGACCATTATACCAGTCTCTGCCCAGAAGAGTTTACAATCTTCTTAAGGCAGCTTCTTGGCAAGGGTTGTCCACAAAATGCATTAATATGCATGCTCCGTTCATAAATGTGTCATGGTTATTCTGTACGACGGTTGTGTAACAATCAGACGTCCTGGCCGCCATGTCGCATCTGTGGTCAAGTGCTGTTATGCAGCTCCCAAAATCCAAGGTGGTCTCTAATATCTTTACTAGGGATGCACCGATACTTTTCGAGTACCAATACCTATACTTGCCATTTTCATGAGAACTACCAGGGTAGCAACGGTTGCAGCTGGGACCTGGCTCTGGTGCTCCACCACTGTCCTGAAATCATTAGTCTGTATTGTTTATTACAGTAGGAAGGAGCAATAACAAGGGTGAATGTATTGTGCGTCCTACTTCAAAATATTGGGGCGCAAGCATTAATAAAAGTTTTCAGTGAAAGTGTAAAGTGATCCACTTATTTGTGTGTCTTTAACTGTCACGAATTGTTATAGATTCCACCATGGAACTTTCTGAATCATGTGACAAAAAGTCATGCTGGTATTTTCTATGCTGAGGGCTTTTTGACAGGTGTCACAGCTCTCCTTTCAACATAAGAGCTTCTTAAAGGGCCAGTCTACCCATACTTGATACTTTAGTTCAATTGTTCTCAACCTGTGTAAAGTCAGGACCTACATTTGAAATTGGTAATTAAGTCGTGACCCAAGTCCCAGTAGTGCATGTGGCGGCACGGGCGATCGAACTTTGAGAGAGAGGCGCGTTTGGGGTGCCATTCAAATGAATGGCAATGTGACGCACCTCCCACACCAGAACGTGCGGTAGGTGCGAGTGCATGGTACATTGCATTACTCGCACAGGACTGTGATTAACGCACTGTATTAGTGTGAATGGGCCCTCAAAAACATACAACACAACCAAAGACACAATCTCACACACATTCCAAAGAAAATATTTTAAAAAATGTTTTTGTTTTGTTAAACCACCCAGTCTCCCTACCTTATGAGGACTGGAGTGGATCCTCAGTCTGAGGTCCAGTGTGGGCTGCTGTGCTGTGACGGAGCATCATTCATATGTGCATTGCTTGTACAGCTGCCTTGCGTGCCCTGCCTGGAGAGGTGCCAAGAGCCAGAATGTGATGTCACTCCGGTCCAGGCACCTCTACAGGACATGTGAGGGAGCTGTAAGCGATGCACGTATGTATGGGGCTCCCTCGAGGCCATAACCCCAGCCCACCCCACCTCAAGCTGACACTTGGCACCGAGCAGCATATTTTGAATGGCTGCTCAGCACGAGAACTGACAGTGCTGCGCTAGGGGGAGAGTGAGAAGCCTCTCACCTAGAACAATGGAAGGCACGTGGCGACCCAATGACCATGGGGTCGTGACCCACTTTTGGGTCACGACCCACAAGGTTTAGTTATTGGTGGTCTAGACAGCCTTAGGCTTCTTATATGTCTTGCATACTTCAAGAGTGAGATCTCCCTCTATAATGCCAGAATCTGTTCTCCAAGTGGAGGTTTCGGGTGTTCCCGCCCCTGTTACATTCATAATATAAAATAAATACAAATTTAGAAGGCAACCTCTTGTAATGGCCACAGCAGACATGGGAACCCACGTTGAACTCTCTACCACCAACTGAATCAAGCGACCAACCAGATATCATACTTCATTCCTGTTTAGGGGGGTTTAGAACAATGATTGCTAATTGACGTCTTATAATATGTTGTCATTAAACAAGGCAAGGTGTGTTGATGTAATCTTTTACCAGTTTAGAGCTGCTGCAGCAATGATGGTTGATTTTTGATCATCTGCAGCACTCTGCACATTGGTGTTTTCCTTAAAGGGAACCCCTATCGAGAGAAACATGAGGGTCGCCATTGTTGATCTCCTTCTGAATATGCCAGTTGCTTGACTGTCATGCTCACCTTGTGGCTTCTCTTATTTTGTGAGTGGCTGATCCTGATTAGGTGACTAAAGGAACCAGAGACAGCCCGCTTATTCAGAAGCAGATCAGCAATGGCCTGCTCCATATTTTTACCATAGTAAGTGTCCTCTAATTTAATTCTGTTAAGGCCTCAAGGCACACAGGCGAATGTAAATTGTGGGCGCATTTCCGTATTTATAACAGCCAATCAGAAATGACCTTTTGTTGGACTGGATGCTAAATTCTGGTTGGCTGATGGGTTACTGCGCGTTGTACATTAGGCCTCATGCGCCCAGGCACAGGAATTAATAGAATTTAAATTGTGAGCAAATTTCTGTGCACGGCTGCAGGGTACAGCTGACCATAGCGATCAATGGGTGTAGGAGGCTCTATGCCCGTATATACCTCTACTTGCCTAAAACCAAGCCAGTCTGCATCCAGGGGCCTACAGCTTTATCCATGAATGGGTTTGCGCAAGCAACGGCATATCCTGGCCTAGAGCCACCAACACCTATTCACTGCTATGGAGATATGCCTTAAATTTACATTCTACAGCAATTGAGTCCTATGGTGCAAAGTGCACTAACCCATCAGCCAACAAAAGCATCCAGTCCACATATTCATTTTTGATGGACTGTCCGATGGACTATGGTGGCCACTTCACATTAACTGAGGTCACTATTCATCTGCAATGACCATCTGGTTCACTGACCTGATACTTGATGTTATCATTCACCTTCTCCTGTGTCTCCCTCATCTGCTGATCCTCCTCTCCAGCATAGCTCAGGGTGTGTGTGCAGGAATGGCAGGCTGTGTTTACAGATGAAACATTCCCTCGTATTGTCACTCACCCGCAGCGGTTATAAACTAGACATAACTGCTTCAACTTTTGCCGGCACCCAGGGATGGCAGGACTTGAAGGGTTAACCTCACCACGGTCATGTCATCAATGGTTTCTTGTCATCTGAGATCATGCCACGGGGGGATCCGGATCTGCCCTACCCTGCATCATGGAATCTCACTTCTCCTGCTGCAGTGGAAGGATTTCTAGTCTTCCTGCTAGGTCACTTTAAAGGGGGATCTAGGCAGACAGATAAATACAGTACACTGTTACATTGCATATATATACTGTATAACGTATAAAACAAAACCTGAGCTGAACAAAAGCCCGTCAGCATAGACCTTAAGGGCCCATTTATGTCACATCAGTTGATTGCACAGAGCTTCCTGCAATAAAAAGCAGTCACTGGTGCTCTCTTTCCTTGTGTAGGGTGACTAGTCTCGTCTCCTCCCCCTCCTGTAATAAAGACCGGTCACTGGTGCTCTCTTTCCTTGTGCAGGGTGACTGGTCTTGTCTCCGCCCCCTCCTGTAATAAAGACCGGTCACTGGTGCTCTCTCTCTCTCCTTGTGCAGGGTGACTGGTCTTGTCTCCGCCCCCTCCTGTAATAAAGACTGGTCACTGGTGCTCTCTCTCTCCTTGTGCAGGGTGACTGGTCTTGTCTCCGCCCCCTCCTGTAATAAAGACCGGTCACTGGTGCCCTCTCTCTCCTTGTGCAGGGTGACTGGTCTTGTCTCCACCCCCTCCTGTAATAAAGACCGGTCACTGGTGCTCTCTTTCCTTGTGCAGGGTGACTGGTCTTGTCTCCACCTCCTCCAGTAATAAAGACCGGTCACTGGTGCTCTCTCTTCTTGTGCAGGGTGACTGGTCTTGTCTCCACCCTCTCCTGTAATAAACACCAGTCACTGGTGCCCTCTTTCCTTGTGCAGGGTGACTGGTCTTGTCTCCACCCCCTCCTGTAATAAAGACCGGTCACTGGTGCTCTCTCTCCTTGTGCAGGATGACTGGTCTTGTCTCCACCTCCTCCAGTAATAAAGACCGGTCACTGGTGCTCTCTCTTCTTGTGCAGGGTGACTGGTCTTGTCTCCGCCCCCTCCTGTAGTTTTCTTTAGGCAGTTTGTAGTAGGTGGGGCCTGCTGGGCCCCTCCCACAGATCTGCTCTCTGCTCAGGCTTAATGCATCACAGTGATGATGTCACGGCTTCAGGTAATATCTGGATTCAACTTTAAAACGTATCTAAACCCAAAAATGTAAAATATTGAACCTATCAGTTTTTACATGTGGTAGCTGCATTATTTTCTTTATTTGGGCTTTTTGTTTCCTTTATTTACCCCTGGTGATCCTGCCAGCACCCCACTTTCTGTCCTAGGCTGACCACACTCAATCGCTGAACTGTATCTATGAAGGAGCAGCCTGGTCACCTTAACAAAGGACTACAGAACACCTCCCCATCATCATCTTCATAACATAGAAGGAGCTGTTTTGCAGTCCTGTCCTAGGGTGACAACACTCAATCACAGTACTGTATCTATGTCGGAGCACCGTTATCACCTTAGGCTGCTCTATATGTATTGGCTAAAGATCTGCAGTTGTCTTTCATGACTTTATGTAAGGTAGCAGCTTATGAGCAGGAAAATCCAGCATGTGGTCATTACATCTGTATTTGTGGGCGGAATATACCCTTGGGCTAGATACACACGTCAGGTCGACAAGTTCTCATTACAAGACTGGGCTACATTGAAGATACTATCTCCTGCTAAGGAGCGACTTAACCTTTCATTAGCAAACACCTAATTTACAACACATTGAAATCAATGACTTACAAATGAAGTGCGGGCACAGAAATGCGTACATGGATCAGTAGCATGAATACATTGTTGTTGTTTGTTGCATGAGTTTTGGATAGAATAGGGAAGGGCTGAACCAATCAGGGTTTTTTTTTTTTTTGCTGTCTTTCCCATCAATGAGATTTCCCTTAATTTCCTGTCTTGGAGACACAACAGGAAGTGAAGGGACTCTCTCTACACTTAGGACAAATTCCCTTTTGGGCAGCTGTCACTGCAAAAGTGTCCCCATTGGGAGATTTCTTCTCTATGTA